ACTTCTTTTCTCCTTACGTTGGCCTTCAGTCACTACTGGTTTTCTCGTGGAAGACAGTTAGCAACAACCTCAGCTAAGATTTGGGCCTCCCCTCCAGGAATGCCGTCAAGGCTCTGTGTCTGTCAATGAGATGCAAGAGTCGCCACTGAGAGCAAGAACAGAGGCCTGTGTGGGGTGACTGTCCAACCACATGAAGGTGGCAGCTATGTGAGATGTCCAACACACACAGGCACAGCCCCCACAAACACACACATGCACACACACACACACACACACACACACACACACACACACACAGTGCATAAAAACCCAGATGTACAATTTCTGTGAAATATCAGTTACCCTAGTCAAAGCACAGGCATTGCCAGCACCCAAAGCCCTTCCACAAGGTCATGCTTGCTCACCACTGCCTCTGCTCTTCCAACTTGCTTTGTAATTGCTGTTTGTTTTGTTAACCCTTTTTCTACTTCAGTATGCATTGTTGAACAGTATAGTTCATTGTTACCAAGTCTGATGTCATAGAGACTCACCACTTTCTTTTAAGATTTATTTGTTTTCTAGCCTCTAGGTCAGTGGTTCTCAACCTGCGGATTGAGACCCCTTGAGTGTCTAACGACCTTTTCACCCAGCTGCATGTCAGGTATCCTGCATACCAGATATTTACATCATAACACAGAGCAACAGCAAAGCTACAGTTATGTAGTAGCAATGAGAACAGTTTTACGGTTGGGGTCCCCACGACTTGAGAAACTGAATTAAAGGGTCGCAGCACTAGGAAGGTTGAGAACCACGGCTCTAGACCAACTCCCCGTTTAAACTCAGATTTTGGTGCAAAAGAGCAAACCAGATTATTTTATTATTACACTTTACTTTATTATTAATATTGATATTTATGAATAAATGCCATACACTGTCCCAGTGAGCCCCAAGGATCTGCCCATCTCTGCCTCTCCAGTGCTGTGATTACAAACACCTCCCCCACCCTTTTTTATGCATGACCCCTGGGGACCAAACTTGGGTCCTCATGCTTGCAAAACAAGCACTTTATCACCTGAGCTTTCTCCCCGTCCTTATATACTTTGTGTGTGTGTGTTTGTGTGTGTGTGTGTGTGTGTGTGTGTGTGTGTGTGTGTGTGCAAAGTTCCCGATAAAAATGTGGGTGTTTTCTAAGTACTATAAAGTGCCACACATGGCGGACACTGGTGACATGCTGCCTGGGTCTCTCTGGAGAAGAGGTACCACTCTCAGGTTTCCCTTGCCATGTTAGGAGCAGACACTTGTCTTCCGCCGTGTGCGGGGAGCTGATGTTGACCAACAATAGAACAGGGAGCAGTTTAGCCAGCGCTCTCTATCTGCGGACACTCACATCCACCTGAGATAATTTCTCCGCGGTTCATACACTTTTTATTTAGTAATCTGCAAGGTGCTACTGTGCACACCCTTGAGAAAAGCCACCGTATTGTTCCCGTAAGTGAAATCAGACATGGACTGTGCCGTAGTCTAGAGTGCTTGGGGTCTGCAGCTGTCTTCCCTCTTTTACTCTGAGAAATATTATGAAATTGAGAAGTGCTACCTTTGATAGTGTCTCCCGGGAGCCGAGCACGTGATGAACAGACTTCCACTGTGGAAGAGATGGGTGAGGAGGTTAAGTAAATTTTCTTTGTGTAGTTCCCATTAAACTTCAATCAGAGTTACAGAAAGAAATTTCCTCCAGGCGGCTGCGAATACAGGTATTGGTTTGACTTTAATAAAAGTCATAACTGATCTCTCTGAGGTCTCGGGTGGGATGAGCTCAGCAGAATTCAGGTAGGTCCTTGAGAGGAAAAGCGCCCACTTAAACATCGCATTATCCTAATCATCCCATTCCAGAGCCACCGTCCCATTATTTTAAAGGTCTTCATTTGCAAATTGTGGTATTTGAAAGTTTTCCTTTTACATTATTGCAGAGAGCCCGTGGACCGTTCTGAGGGCCCTACACCTATTTACAGACTGGCTTTTCCTCTGGGCCTCTGGAAGGAAGAAGGCATGGTGGGTAATCCTGGCAGCCCTGTGCCTTCCCACACCTGCTTGGGTTACATCGCTTGTTTAAAGTGACACCTGCTTAGGTGGCGGGGCTGATGTCAATGAGATTTGTTAAGAAAGACAAAAATTCTAGGACTTCTGAGGATACCTGTGGCCAGCACAGAGAACAGGGCAACAGCACTCCAAGCTCTGGAGTCTCACCCATTCCCATTTAAAAGACAGAGACGTAGCCCACAAGCCTGCCTGGCTCCTACCATGTGTTCTGTGCTGTCCTGAGCACATGAATAAAGCAGCCATCAGAGGAGGCAAGGGACCCACAGTCTAGTGAGAGAGGCACATAGTGAACAGTGAGAATCGGTGAGATGCTCTCCGGTGGCCTGACTAGTAGTCAGGATGATGGTTGAGGTAGGATGCACCAGTGAGGTGGGATGGCCAAAGGCCCTTTCAGAAGGTGACGTGTGAGCTGAGGATGAATTGAAGAGAAGGTCGCATCTGTTCATGTATTTAGAGGTGGGAGATCTACGCCTCTCTTTCTTTCTTTCTTTCTTTCTTTCTTTCTTTCTTTCTTTCTTTCTTTCTTTCTTTCTTTCTTTCTTTCTTTCTTTCTTTCTATCTATCTATCTATCTATCTCTATCACCATCACTTTCTACCTTATGTTTGGAAACAGGGTCTCTCGCTGACCCTAGAGCTCACTAACGAAGCCAGGGAGAGGGAACAACGGGTGCCATTTGTTTAAAGAAAGAAACGTGGTCATCCCAGAGTGTCTTGAATGAGAAAGAGCGCGACGTGAGATGCCTTTAGAAAGCCGGGCAGGGGCCAGTGCTCTGGGGGCTTGTGGGCTACGGCATGGCTTCAGATGTTATTATGTGAGTGAAGTCTCTTTGTTCTTTAATATTTAGACAACTACTTCTTAGGATCACGCCTGGCTCTCTTTCTGGAATTCCCAAACTCTCGTGGGTGTGAGGGAAAATACAAAGTGGTTCTGGATCCCGGGGTCTTCAGGGAAGGAAGATTCCCCCACCTCTCTAAGCTCCACTCGTAAAATGGGCATGGCCACACTCAGTTCACTGCGTCACCAAGCGCATGAACTGTCAGTGACGTGCCCTGCCCACCTTTCCTGACATTCACCAGGCACTTGATCATTTTCAGCAGAATCTTAATCTGAGTGACCCCTAGGCCTGCTGCTCTTGGGGGCAGACCTCTTTCCAGTGGAAGTTCATTGCTGAAAATGGGGTCAGGCCAGCAGTAATGCATCAAAAAAAAAAAAAAATCAAATCCAAAGCCATTAACAGATCCTGGGCAGGTGGCCTTGGTGAAATGGAGCAGGCACTCAGTTCTGGCTGTGGCTTTGCCAGTCACTCACAAGGTGGTCCTGAGAAACTGAGCCTTGGTTTCCAAATCCACAGGAACGGGCATCACCGTGGCCCAGCCTTGCACACACCGCCGCAAGCCTTAAAGCCATTCTGTGACACCTAGCGATGATGTCAGCCAGGAGGGCTACGCACTTTGGGAACCATTCATCTTGGAGACCTCTCCCACTTTGCTCTTCCACCAGAGAGATGGAAGCAAAACCACCTGACTTCCTGGGAGCTGAGGAAGAAACGGCCCTTCTCCTAGACTCCCTTCCGGTGCCGACAGAATTCATCTGTGACTTTCTTTGGTATGCTTGCAGATTCAGAACGCCCTAAGGTCCTTGGCTAAACTTACCATCCCAAAGGGAAGCACCCAGGCCCTCTCCTTTGCACTCTGGCCACCCAGGTGATGAAAACCATCAGGATGATGATCATGACACCACTAGGGACTGCAGTCACCGCGCTTGGGTGTACGACAGCAAAGACAAAGAAGCGTCAGCGGAGAGGAGAGGACACCCCAGCAGGCTGAGGTATGGTGAGAAGGGGCGCTGGCAACAGAGAGAGGTGGAAACACAGAGCGATGTGTTTCCACCTCTCCAGAGCCCTGGACCAAAAGGGACAAGTGCACTCAGGCTGAGAGCACTTGGGACACTGATGGAGGAGACAGCATCAGTTGTCTTTGTTTTTGTTTTTCCGTCGGTATGGGGCAGGGGGCAGCAAATACTGTGTGAATGTGAGGATGCACATGTGTGCGCGAGCAGGTAGAGGCCAGAAGTCAGTGCCAGCATCTCCCCAGATCACCCTTCCCTTTCGTTTGTGAGATGGGATTTCTCGCCGGTGAGAGGTCACCGGTTCTGTCAATGAGCTACAGAGACCCCAGTCCCGACCTCTTCAGAGCTGGGATTACAGGCACGGGACACCACACCAGGCTTTTGATCTGGACTCTGGGAATCCAAATTCAAGCCCTCCTGCTTGTGTGACAGTGGCCTTACAGGCTGCACCCAGCCTTGGGATTTTCACATTTTCCCGGCTTGGATGTGGGGATGTTTCTAGAAATTGTGATGGTGACGGCAGTGTTGGGGGCAGGGATAATGAAGGAGCTGGGGGGTCTCTCCATCAGGGAGGCTGACCTCACATATTCTCTAGTCAGGCAGTCAGGGCAGTCCTTTGAAGTAATAAAAGCAACAGTAAAAGCCCATTAAGGGAAAACTAGCTTCTTTTGATCAAGAGAATGAAGTCCTAGGGTCTGGAATCCTCGAATTCCAAGCTACCCAAACATAAACAAATGCATCCATTTGGGTTGCTCAAATACCCTGCCAAGCAAGGAACCCTCCCATCTCAGGAAGGTAAGCTCACCTTAAGCCATGCTAAAGAGATAGGTAGAATAATTATCCCTTTAATGAGACAATGGATTTTTTTCCTTCTCAGAATTCCCACCCTCTAGCATATTCCCTAGGAGCCGAGAGGTTTGGCTAGGTTTGTCCATAAAGGTGAACCCTATTTCTTTTATCTTCTCTTTTGTCCCTTTCTTTCGGAAGCAGGCCAGAGCCTGAGTCTGCTTTTCCTGGTTCTTTGGGCTCCTCAAAAGCTCCTCTCCCACCACATAGCTGATGTCTGATGCGCGGCTGACTTTCAGGTCTGCTCAATTCAAAGGGCCTGGCTTTTCCCCCTTTCTCCTCTATTCTCCTCCTCCAGGCAGCCATTAAGATTTAGAGCTTGCCTGCCTCTGGGCGTTTAAACACTAATAAAATTGTCCCCTTTGGATAAATGTTGGTTTTGTGTGGCATGCAGACATTTCCCACCTCTTAATTCTTCAACCAGAAGGGAAAAGGACCCCTTTCCTCCACCCCTAGAGGGTCCATAGACAGGACTGCTCAATTCCCATTTAGAGGAGAGAAGGGGTATGAGTGATGAATGCTGCTGTAGACCCGAGTCCGCCAGCCAAGACTCTAGGGGCCTTCTTATAACCCTCAATGCCAACTCCACCTCCTCCTCTGTACTCTCAAGTCCAGACCCCCAGGAATGAGGCTGACTACTCATTAACTGGAAGAAGAAAAGTGGGCCTGTAGCTGAGTCCTGTTCAAAGGTATAATTTGTATTGATTAGGAAAAGTACTGGTTCAAATCCCCAAGCCCTTTTAAGGACTTAGAATCCAGGCCATGCTAAAAAGGCAGGCATGTGCAGTTTCTGGCTGACGGTAATTGCTAGGCCATTCTTCTTTTATGAAGTCTTTAGGCCCAGCACTGAAGCTTGAGGGGGTGGTACCTGCAAGCCCAGCTCTGCCCTGCCCTGCTCAGGTCTCTCCTTCCTTCCATACTGACTGACCCAAAGCCAAGCTTCTGGCTCCAGGAGAAGCTGGGACAGGGCCAGTCTGGCCTTCAGTTCACAGCTTTTGCCAGATAGACTGTAGGTGTGCTGGACAGAGCACATGTAAGAATTATATTTTGTTTATCTGACATCACAGTAAGATTGAACTTGAACCGGGTATCTAGTGCATGTACTTGCCAGGCCAGGCTGCCCTATATTCCACCCACCCTTTTCCCATGACTTTCTGCCCCGTGGCGTCTTCAGTCATACATAGTCACTTGAGTAAGAATGTTTGGTTTTTTTTTTTTTTCTCTCTCTCTCTCCTGTGCATCCATGGATTTGTAGGAGTAGAATGGGTACATTTAGAGACTGGCAGCTTCTCTTCTGAAATCCTTGGGTGCCTCACATGGTTGAGCATTTTATCCCATCTTAACCCTCAGAAATAGATACCTATAGCCTGATTCATCAGGGAACTGTCCTCTGTCTCAAATTTACCATCACCTCAAGTGGTATGACGGAGGTTCAAATCCTTGTTGTCTGTGGATCCAAGGGAGTGGGTGGATGCAGTTCTGGAAAGTGCCCTCTCAAAGCCTGTTTCTCCTATAAATCAAGAGAGGATTCCAGTTCTAGGCTCTCTGGGAGGATTCAGTGAGACACTGTGCTAATGTCACCACCTTGGGGCCTGGCACTTGTTCAGAACTTGAAACACATGGGTGTTTCCACTTCTGGTAAGTCCAAGGCCTTCTGGAACCTTCTAGAATCTCCTAGAACCCAAGGCAGGGCAGTGTTCCCTAGAAGCTTCTGATTGACTGAAGCATTGGCTTTGGGGATTCAACTGAAGACCCAGAAACCCTTGCCACTCTGCACAGCTCCAGGAGGCCCTGGTACAGCATTCCTAAGCGCTAGCTTTGGTGTCTGTTAAATGAGGGATAATTGAGCCTTAGTGTGTGGAGTGATGAGTCGGTGGTTCCAGGGGTCTTTGAAGTTCCAAGGCTGGATGAGACTGTTCACATCGCTGCCTGCGCACATTCAAGCTGTGTGAGCCTCATCTGAGGTTCTGGGCAATCAGACCTTGTCCTCAGAGGAGGCCAGTGTTCCTCAGGTTCCCATCCAGGTTGTAGTGGACACTCCCCGTTTGTGATCCTTTCTTTGCCCCTACTCTGACCTGCTACCTGATTCGACTTCTTTCCAAAGCCTGAATGCAGCTCTTTCCAAGCTAGGTTCTGGCCCTTCTCCAAAGGATGGGCCAAGTCCTAAGTCCTGACACTATCACCAGCCCACTCAGCTTGGGCCATGCTGCCTGGGGTTCCAAGACAGCACTACTGAATAGTTGGATTCTTTGCTGTCTTTCCAAGCCCCCTAGAGAAACCCATGGTGTGTGTGCAGTTTGGAAAGAGGGTTGGAAAACAATTCTGTCCTGGGACACATCTCTGAAGCTTCTAATACTTCCAGCTATTACAGTAATTAAGCATCTGGTTACTAAAAAAATGGCTAGGGACAAGGGATACGAATCCCAAGGACCTCCCAGGTCCCCGCCCCACATGATTGGAAATGCTAAATTACAAAGAAATGGTGGGGAACCTGGGATTGAGGGGGGAAGCCCAGCTGGGAAATTGGGACAAGTGTCTAGAGGAAGCTAAAGTTCTGCAGAGACAGTGATGCCCGGGGCTGTCTTGCTCACTTTTGAATCTCTCCCGTCTGGACCAGCATCTAAACACGGCAGGTCCTCAGTAAACATTTAATCGTAAGTCAATGAAAGGATGGGTGAATAGATGTGTGTGGGGATGTGTGGGTGGATAGAAGGACCAGTGGGTGGAAAGATGTGCTCACCGGTGGGCGGGTGGACGGGTGGGTGTTATCTCCCATTCAGGCACAACACAGCCCTTCAGCAGAAAAAAATCGAAGGTGACACTGGAGAAAGAGGCCAGGAACCAGAGTTGTGAGGCAGCGGGGAACGGTCCATGGGAGCCCTGTGCATGCATGCCTTGTGGGAAGGAGGTAGATGAAGGAAGGGATTTGAACCTGGAATGAAAACCACAGAAAAGAGACAGAGTATGCCTGTGCTATCCAGCTCTCAGGTGACATCTATCCGGACACCCCCTCTGCTCCACTCTACTCCATTTGACAAGGTCAGAAAGGCTTGATGTGTCTGGACTCTCTTCTCATAACGTGCATGCAGCGTATCCTTCCTTCAATCCCCCCAGTGGTACCTTACCCACCTGTACGTCTCAGTGCACTTACTCTCGCCATCAGAAAGGCTTCCATCTCGAGCCGTGGTTCTCACCCTTCCTAATGCTGCGACCCTTTAATACAGTTCCTCATCTTGTGGTGACCCCCAACCGTACAATTATATTCATTGCTGCTTTATAACTGTAATAGTGCTACTGCTATGAAGCGTGATGTAAATATTTCTGGAGATCAAGGTTTGTCAAAGTGGCCACAACCCACAGGTTGAGAATCACTTATCTAGATGCACATCATCAACAACTCTCATCTGGAAAGACCATATCAGGAGTCATTGACTCCTATTCCCCTCTCACCCATAATGCCCTTCCCCTCACAGCAGCCAGCGCCCTCAGATTACCCACCTTCCACCGCAGCGGCCTTTACACAGCCCGCACAGCCCCGTACCACCGGGCCCTATTCTCTCCTAAACCCATTTCCAGCTGCACTATCCCTTTCCTGCTCCTCTGGCCCGCTGACTCTTCCTCAAACATGTTACCACATCCTGGTCCTCCCAGGCTTCTGGCTTTTTTTCTCACCAGGCTTCTTTTCTGTGTCCACGCAGCTTCCTGTCCAACCTTTCCAGCATCGGGTCTGGCTGGCCCTGAAGCCAGCTGGCGAAGAGAGCTTCTGCCTGGCCATGATGACAGTTGTCTTTAGCCAACAGTGTCCTGACTCCTAAGCTGGCTCTTCTACCAGATAGGTCTGTCTAGAATGTTCTTGGGTTCTTGCCAAAAGAGAAAAGAGAGGGGGAAAGGGAAGGAGGGAAGGAGAGAGAAGGGGGGAGGGGGAGAGAGAAGTAAAAACTAATGACTCATCCCCTGGATTAAATGACCTGATAACATGTGTATGGCTGCTCATGCCGTACTTTATACAATGACATGGTCAGGCAGTGGTGGCTCACACAGAGGCAGGTGGATCTCTGTGAGTTCGGGGCCAGCCTGGTCTACAGTGCGAGTTCCAAAGAAACACACAGAGGAACCCTGTTTTGGGTGGGAAGGGGAAAAAAAAGAGTTTGTACAATGACACAAAAAAATCAAGAAGGGCTGGCATCCAGCCTAACCCTTGCTTGTCAGGCTTCCCAGATGTCAAGCATCCTTCCAGGGAAGAGTACCATATTCTCATCCTGTGGGACAGGAGTGGCTGCTGGGGATGCTCACACAGGGAAGGGCTAGCTGAATGGCAAGCGGTGGATAGAGGAGCCGGAGTCCAGAAGGCAGGTCCCATCACATTAGTCCTAATCCTAGAACCCATTGATTCTGGGCTGACCTAGCAGCAGATGGGTACCAGGCATCTGGGATTGGGGAAGGTTCCTGCTTCTTCCTGACCCCCGACAATATATGTTGGCTTCCTTATATTATTCATCTGAAGCTGCCTAAAGCTTGCTCAGCACTTAATAAAAACTACAGGTCCATACATGCACGTAGATATACCCCACACCTTAAATTTTGCACAGTCTCAGAAGTACACTCCATACCTACCCCACCTCTATTAAATCAAGGTTCCTAGTGGTTCAAGGGTGCCATTTATTTGTTTGCTTATTTACTTTGGTTTATCGAGATAGGATCTCACGTAGCCCAGGCTGGATCAAACGGACTACACACAAAGCTAAAGATGACCTTGAACTCCGGCCCCTCCTGAGCGCTGAGACCACTGGCAGGGACCACCAGGCCTCACTCGTGGTGTCTTGAAGAGTCCTCCAGTGCAGACAGATCTGAAGCATCCCAGAAGCACTCTAAGTGCGCACCTGCTGAGTGGCGCCAGCTGCGCTGAGCCTGGGGGCGCCTGCGAGCCGCCGCCGCCGTCGCCGTGAAAACTTTAGAAATCCATACCAGGTGGTGCCCCTGCGTTGAAGGACTCTGCTTGACCCCAAACACCAGGAATCTCTAAAACTTCCTCTTCCCTTTCCTGCCTCCCCACCACTCAAATCCTGTACCCACCCCTTTTCTCTCTAGGGGAAGCAGGAGGTGCCCAGGCCTCTGCCTTCTCATCACAGACAGCCCCATCACCCAAAAGTCCCAGACAATTCATTCCCACCGTCATGGCACCATTTAGCCTTCAATTTTCCTGACTACCTCAGGATTAACTCAGTCTGTGAGACTTCCACTTCTCTGGGCCATTTAAGGGAGCACCACACTTCTTTCTATTCCCCAGAAATTGTAACCCGGACTTGGTTTTGTGATGCTAATTGCCTTATCTTCATAAATTCTACAGTCTTACATAATTTACCCGCATTGTAGCAGGATTTCCCAAGAATAAAAAAGCAGGTGCCGTCAATGGTAATTTGAATAAGAAAAGACATGTTAAGTGGCCCTCTCTCACTAGTAATAGAAATTAATTAGCTTTGAGAAGCTTTGGAGATTTTTGCTTTTTTTTTTTTTTTTAAATGCTGTAACCTGTTATGTTTTCTAATTGTATGGAAAGAAGGTTTGATTTGATCACATTATTTGGTGACGGAGAGGCCTCTGTTTGGAGTCAAAGGTGCAGGCACAGTAGCAGCCCGAGGGTGGGAAGCCACCCGAGGCAGAGCCGCGCTGGGAGCACAGGGCTTTGTAGTCAGATAAGCTGAGCTCTGAGCTAGGGCGAGGCACTTGCTAGTGCTGTGACCCCCCCCCCCACCCGGACCAATCCCTTCCCCTCTTTCAACTTCAGCTTTCTCAGAAACATGTGTGACAGAGGTCAGAATTGGAAGGGAGGGAGCCTGGGGCTGAGCACAGGCCCTGGAGCTGGAGTTGGATGCAATCTGGGGTCCATTGCTCCATTTTTTGTGACCTTCTCCAATTAGTATGCCTTCAGTTTTGAAAAACATAAAATGTTATTTAAATGGAAGCAATGGGTTGTGGTGCCTCATACCTGCAATCCCAACACTGGATTGGGGAAGCTGAGACAGGAGGATTGTGCTGAGTTAGAGGCCAGCCTGGGCTATAGAGTAAAATCCTAAAAAAAAAAAAAAAAAAAAAAAAAAAAAAAAAAAAAAAAAAAAAGTCCATACTCCACTTATAAAAAAGAAACAGAATAATCTGGGTTAAGAATGAAAAGGGGTGCAGTGCCCCTGGTACACAGGAGCCAGCAGAGGCTAGCAGAGGCTATGGGACTTAAAATGAGCAGCTAGGATACAACAGGGAGTTGGCTCAGTGTCTTTGAAGCTCTAGGTCTGCTTCCCTCCTCTGGGTCCTCCACACTGACTTCATAGAATGCAGCCTTCCTCCTGGCAAGGATTCCAGTTCACCCGAACCTCACCTGGATCATGGGGCAAAACCCTCCCTTCAACCTGATTGAGCTGGTCTTTTGTCCACTCTAGAGTGGCGCTGACTGCTGAAGGTCACAGGAACAGATGGACTGATCAGGAGCCATGGCTGTTTAGGTGGAACCCTATCTGTACCATAGACCCAAGGAGTCTGGGATGTTTAGGTGGAAGCCCCACCTTGGCCCACCTCTCTCTCTCCCCAGACCACACCCCACAGAAAGCCAGCCAAGGGTCAGCTCCACACCACCCCCAAGACC